AGAATAGAATAGAATAGAATAGAATAGAATAGAATAGAATAGAATAGTGGAATGAAGAATAGAATAGACTAGAATAAATAGAACAGAATAGAATACACTAGAATAGAATAGTGGAATGAAGAATAGAATAGACTAGAATAAATAGAATAGACTAGAATAAATAGACTAGAATAAATAGACTAGACTAGACTAGACTAGACTAGAATAGAATAGAATAGAATAGTGGAATGAAGAATAGAATAGACTAGAATAAATAGATTAGAATAAATAGAATAGAATAGAACAGAGAAAAAGAATGGATGGGAATAGAATAGAATAAAATTTTATTGTTACTTTGAATGTGCACTGATTGGCATGCATTAAAAATGAAATTTTGTTGCATACATTATGTGTTGTACCTTATGATTCTTGTTGAATGTATCTTTTCCTTTAATGTACACTAAGAGCATATGCACCAAGAAAAATTCCTTGTATGTCCGATCATACTTGGCCAATAAAAAATTCATTTGTTCGTTCATTCATTCATTCATTCATACAGCTCTTATAAAGGGTCACCACCTCCAATTTTACACTACATAAAAATAACAAGATCAATAAATACAAAATTATGGTATGCATATACTCATATGACACAGAGAAACAACACAGTCTAGTTTGGAAATGTATGTATTTATTGTGAGAATACAGTTAGTCCTTGATGTACAACAGTTCATTTAGTGACCCACATTTTCTGCCTAACAGGTTGTGCTTACGGGAGAAAAATTGCAAGGGAATATGGATGTGCCATAATTCTGCAGGTCTCCAAATTCTGTTAATTTGTACTGGAGTCCTTTTGCTTCTGAGGCTAAATTTCGCAGTCCAGAGATTACCCTAGTTTTAATTGTGAATTAAATACTGAAGGTATGTCTCAACTTACAGCAGTTCATTTAGTGACTGCTCTAAGTTACAACGGCACTGGAAAAAAGCGATTTAGGATCATTTTTCACACTTCTGACCATTGCAGTATCTCTGTGGTCATGTGATTTACATTTGGATACTATGATGACCCAGGACGTGGCACAAAAGCAACGAAGTCACAAAAATAGGTAAAGTCCCTTTAATACCTCAAACTTGGCCCCCAATGTCCAGTTATCCTCTGCTGGAGATCCAACCCTTCCAAAAACAGTCTACAAAGGGAAGAAATGCAGTCCGAACCCAAAGTACAGGTAGATTAGAAATAAAAAAACCAACACAAACCACACTGAAAGAATTAACACAACAGGCCAGGATAATGAATTGCAGACTTCCAAAAGATAATGTAGCACACAGTTAGGAGGACGCCAAAACCCAGATAAGCCTCGACAAAGATAATGCACACTTTGCTTCCAGCAAGATGCTGTGTGCAAACGCCCTTCTTATATCCTGTTCTCCAGCTGCAACTAATGAAAGGGATAAGGGCCCTTTTCTCTCCCATAAGCCATGTTGCTCCCTTCTCCATTCCTCCCTGCGTGCCCTAGGATGAAGAGGGGATGGCTCTGGGTCTTCCTCTGAATGCCCAGCCGGACTTTGCCCTTCCCCCATTTCTTCCACAGCCACCAGAGCCACACTCCCACTCCCTGTCAGGTGCTCAACCTCCCCCTCAGAATCGGACTCCAACAAGGGCATTTATGACCATTATAGTGTCCCGGGGGTCATGTGATCCCCTTTTGCGACCTTCTGACAAGCAAAAGTTAATGGGGAAACCAGATTCACTTAACAACTGTGAACTGCAGTGGTTCACTTAACAAACATGGCAAGAGAAGTCGTAAAATGGGGCAAAACTCACGTAACAAATGTCTCACCTAGCAACATACATTTTGCGCTCAATGGTGGTCATAAGTTGCTTTCATAAGATCATGATGGTCAAACGGTCATCACAATATCACATGATTGCTTGTGTCTGAACATGGGATTAATCGCCATAATAATTGTATTACGGATTCAATATTTGCAGCATTCTCATTACTCAGTACTACAAAAGCAGGGGACCTTCATTTCTGTAAATGTGATTTTAATAGATCATTTTGTTTTATTTTGTTTTATTATTTCATCAGTTATATTCCAGATCCAAAACACTGATTGACAAAATTGTTTTGCAATGTTACATAACAAAAATGACCCCTGGAAGTTCCAGAGTGTTAAAATATTTAAAAAAACATTTATAAGTTTCCCCCCATCACCAGATTAGGTAACAGATGACAGATAATCAGAGTTGGAAGGGACCTTGTAGGTCATCTAGTCCAACCCCCCACCAAGCGGGAGACCATACACTATTTCTGACAAATGGCAGTCCAATCTCTTCTTGAAAGTCTCAAGTGATGAAACTCCCACAACTTCCGAGGGCAACTTCTGTTCCATTGGTTGAATGTTCTCACTGTCAGAAAGTTTCTCCTTATTTCTAGGTTGAATCTCTCCTTCTTCAGTTTCCATCCATCATTCCTTGTCTGGCCTTTGGGTACCTTAGAAAATAGCTTGACCCCCTCCTCCTCTCTGTGGCAGCCCCTCAAATATTGGAAGACTACTATCCTGTGTCTCCCGGTCCTTCTCTTCACTAGACTAGCCATGCTCAGTTCCTGCAACAATTATTCCTATGTTTTAGCCTTCAGTCCCCTAATCATCCTGGTTACTCTTCTCTGTACTTTTTCTAGAGTCTCAACATCTGTTTTATAATATGGTGACCAAAACTGGATGCAGTACTCTAGGTGTGATCTTACTAAGGCTTTATAGAGTGGTATTAGTATCTCACTTGATCTCGATTGTATCCCTCTGTTAATGCAATTTAGGATTGCATTAGCTTTTTTGGCTGCTGCTGCTGCACACAGCTGGCTCATATTTAGCTGGTTGTCCACTAAGACTCCAAGATCCCTCTCACAGTTACTACTATTGAGCCTGGTTTCACCCAGTCTATATGTGTACTTTTGGTTTTTCTTGCCTAAGTGTAGGACTTTACTTTTTTCTACATTGAATTTCATTTTGTTAGATATGCGGCCCACTGTTCGAATCTGTCAAGATCCATCTGGATCTTGAGCCTATCTTCTTGGGTGTTAGCTATTCCTAAAATGTAATCGTATACATCTTTATAGAACAGAAAATATTCTTACAAGTAACAAGTGCTGAATACTTACCAAGTCAAGGAGTCATGAAGTTTAGACAGATTGTCTGAACGGTCTGGCTGTGAGATGTTAAAGAACAGATATGATGGTCATAGCTATGAATCATTCAGGCAAACTTCATGCTATTACAAAGCACCTATGATCAGTAATGTGTGAAGTCTGAGATAAAATGTTGCTAGCTATTTCTTAGCTATTTCTATATTATATTTCTTAGCTATTTTCAACTGTGTGAACTTCAACTCCCAGAATTTTTAGCCATTTCCATTCTGGGAGTTGAAAACTATGTATCTGGAAACTGCCAAGATTGAGCAGCAGGGCCCCAAAGGATTGTAGCTTTTGTACTTTATTAACAGTAAAATAGTCTTTAGTAAAGATAAGCAGATTTCACATTTTTTTTATAAAGAGTGGTGCAAGGCTGCTAGTTACAGAAATGTTTTTATTTGATCCAGGAGTCATTTCCCAAAGCTAAACTATGTTTAATGCCAGGATTTGACCTTGGATTATAAAGCAATAAAGGGAATGTAAGTATTTACAGAATGTTACTAATCCATTATAGTCTGATCATAGTCAACTGATAACACCTGGAGATCTTCCAAAGCCAAAGAATCCAGCCTTTTAGGCAGACTCGATTTCTGTTACTTTAGGGGGATAAAAAAAAATTAAAAAATTTAAGCAGCATCTAAATTTGAAGACGATGACAGGGAGAAAGAAGGAAAGAGAAGAGTGGTGGTATATGGAAAGGAGTTTCAGACTCAAATATGATAAAGGTAACATTTAAAGGGCTTAAATGGGTTGTGTCTCTTTATGTGAAAGCAAAGAAAATGTTGGTAAGGTAAAATTTTTGGTCTTAAAAGCATTAGAAGCTCCAAAATACCATGCTGTTGCTTCATAAATATCAAGGGAATTGTGAGTGTGGATGAGTGGAAAACTTTTGATAGGTTGTTTTAGTTAAGAAAAACCTGAAAATTCACAAATATGGGTTGGAAATTTAATAAATCAAGACCAGTGCACCAATTATATACCCAAGCATCTTTCTTGAGCGTTAGACCAAAAATCCTTGGCTTGGGGACCTGATTATCATTTATTTATTTATTTATTTATTTATTTATTTATTTATTTATTTATTTATTTATTTATTTGATTTGCCAATTGTTTACAAGATAATAAGTACAAATGTATACATAGTTGTGAATACATGAAATGGGTACATATAAGAAAAATAAAAGAATAAGAGAAACAATAAGACAGGGACGGTAGGCACGTTGGTGCGCTTATGCACGCCCCCTACAATCATCAGGACGCCAATGGACTTTCTTGGTTTTTTTTTTCTTTGAAGACGGTTCGCTTCTCATCCAAAAGAAGCTTCTTCAGCTCTGACCGGATGGTGGAGGATGGAAGGGTTTATACTTCTCGTATTCCCCGTTTAAGTGTGCAGTAGAGAAATCCGGGTAGAGCGCCCGGGCCAAATGGAAATACATTTCCCAGAATGCCCCGCTTCAGGCTGGGCGGTGGACCGACGCACCTGAAGGGCGCCGCAAATGGGGGGGGGGAGGCCGAACGTGATTGGGCCGGACTTCCGTACTCGGGAGCGTTCAGGACGGCGCCCAGTCGCCTCGGGACTGGGAGAAGATTCGCTTTCTTGGCCTATTTTTCCTGGAGCCTCTCTAGGCTTTCGGGAGAAGCGGAGGCCGAGAGCGCCCACCCCTTTCAGGAAGAGAGGGAAGGGAAAGGCCTCTCTCTCTCTCAGCCGTCACGACTCTCCCCGCCGCCGTTCTGCTCCGCTCCTTTCGTTTGCCACGCGAAGGGAGGCGGGGGGGGGGGGTTTGGAAAAAAAAGGGGAGGGGGAGTTGTGCGCAGGCGCGCTGTGCAGTCCGGTCTCGCGCGGCGGGCCGGCGGAGCGCGTGTGCGGGGAGGGGAGTCGGCCATGTCGGCGGGCGGTGAGGTGGAGCGACTGGCGGCCGAGCTGAGTGGGGCCGGCGACGAGGAGGAGTGGCTCTACGGCGGTACGGTTTTTCCTCTTCGCTGCTTTCGACGCCCCCGCCTCCTTCTCCCCTCCCCCCCCCCCCCCCCCGCTCAAGTCTCCGGGTTTGTGGCCGGGCCTCGGATGGAAGCAAGGCCTCGATAAGGCCTCGGACTCGATTAGCCGCCTCCCTTCCTAACCCACCTTTCCCCTAGCGGGGCCACAGGTTTCCCTCACTTCCCCCGCCAAAGGCGGACAGAGGAACCCCCCCCCCC